AGTCCAGAGAAGGGCTACAAGATTAAGTAGAGGGCTAGAAGGCCGGAGCTATGAGGACCACATTCAAAATCCAATCGCCCTACAGGCCGCGGTATCTGCTGATAACATTGAAACATTCCAGAAACTTCCGGATGAGTTTCTCCTTTCTCAGAATCTACAGAGACATGGGAAGTGTTAGAGCCAGATACTCACACACACACACGTTGACCTGGATGGACCTTTATTCAACCCTTACATACTATGATACTCATGGAGTCTTTGTCACCTGAGGTCTAGATACACATAGAAAGGGACTCACACGGCTTTTATTATTATTATCCAAGCCAACAGAAGGCCCATCAAACTCCCCCTATGTACCTCATATCACTTGTCCCGGGACGAACCCCACTGTAAACAAGTCCTTTACCCTCCAGTTGTTCTTTAGACTTAACAGTTCCACCCGTTTACAGGCATTGTACATTTGTCAAAAGAATCAGCAAATCCGTTTTCTCTGACTCAGCTTTAATCTGTAAAACATTTCCCGCACTTTTGACACAGTCAGGGCGTTCCGTGGTGTGTATACTCTGGTGCTTAACAAGAGATCCGTTCTGAGCGAAAGATTTCCCGCACTAATAAGGACGATCGTCAGTGCGATTTCTCTGGTGCATAACAAGGGCTCCTTTGCGAATGAAACATTTTCCACACTCTGAACACGAAAAAAGGACGTTCGTCAGCGGGAATTATTTGGTGTCTTAGAAGTTCTCCTTTTTGAACAAAGCTTTTGCCACACTCCGAACATGAATAGGGACGCTCACATGTGTGAATCTTCTGGTGCTGATGAAGTTTTCCTCTCTTGGAAAAACTTTTCCCGCACTTTAAAAAATAAATAGGGCTGCTCACCCGTGTGAGCTTTCTTGTGTCTAACAAGGTCAGATTTGAAAATATAACTTTTCCCGCACTCTGTACATGAAAAAGAACGCTCGCCGCTGTGAATCCTCTGGTGCCTAACAAAGCTTCCTTTCTGAGTGAAACATTTTCCGCATTCTGAACATGCATATGAACACTGACCTGTGTGAAATTGCTGATGTACAAGAAGTTTTTTTCTCTCAGGGAAACCTTTTTCACATTCTAAAGAGGAATAGAGATGCTCACGTGCGTGAGTTCTTTGATGTTTAGCAAGCCCACCTTTCACTGTGAAACCTTTCCCACACTCTGAACATGAATAAGGGCGCTCGCCCGTGTGAATTCTCCGGTGTATAACAAGGCTATCTTTGAGACTGAAAGATTTCCCGCACTCTGAACATAAATATGGACGCTCACCCGTGTGAACTTTTTGGTGTCGAAGAAGTTGACCTTTTTGGATAAAACATTTCTCACACTTCAAACATGAAAAAGGGCGCTCGCCCGTGTGAATTCTGTGGTGTTGAAAAAGTTTTTCTTTGTCTGTGAAACATTTCCCGCACTCTGAACATGAATAGGGGCGCTCACCTGTGTGAATTCTCTGGTGCTGAATCAGTTTTCCTTTCTCTGCGAAACTTTTCCCGCACTCTGAACATGCATAGGGTCGCTCACCTGTGTGGACTTTCTGGTGTTGAAGAAGTGTTCTTTTCTGCTTGAAATTTTTCCCGCACTCTGGACACGAATGGGGACGTTCAGCCGTGTGACTTTTCTCGTGTCTAAGAAGTGCTGTTTTTTGTGTAAAACATTTCCCGCACTCTAAACATAAATAGGGTCGCTCGCCTGTGTGAAGCCTCTGGTGCTGAAGGAGATGCCCTTTCTGAATAAAAAATTTATCACACTCTGAACACGAATGAAGACGCTTTCCCGTGTGAATCCTCTGGTGTTTTCGAAGGTTTCCTTTCTCGGTGAAAGATTTCCCGCACTCTGAACATGAATAAGGACGCTCGCCCGTGTGGATTCTCTGGTGTTTAAGAAGTGCTGTCTTGTCTTTGAAACCTTTCCCGCACTCTGCGCATGAATATGGCCGCTCTCCTGTGTGATCTCCTTCAGGGCTTACAGAAGGTTCCTCAGGATTAGACGGACCTCTTGATCTCTCCGCACTGTGAGGACCTTGATGGACATCTGAGGTCATGTGACGTGAATGATCAGAAGGTTCCTCAGGATTGGACGGATCCATCGATCTCTCTGAACGGGAAGAATTGACTTTGGGAGAATGTTGCGCAATGTCGCCGTCTTCTGCTTCACCGTCTGGAGATATAATAAGACGTCCCTCCGATGTCTTTATATTCCACTTCTGTACATCTGTGAGAGAATAGGGGTCGTATCTATCCTTCAGGGGTTGTATCTACCCTTCAGGGGCCGTATCTATCCTTCAGGGGCCGTATCTATCCTTCAGGGGCCGTATCTGTCCTTCAGGGGCCGTATCTGTCCTTCAGGGGCCGTATCTATCCTTCTGGGGTTGCTAATCAGCCTGGCTTTCGGACCAATCGGGAAGCAGGGAGGCGGGTCACGACATGCAGCCCGGGTTCCTGTCTGGAAAAGAAAGCCGGCTCCACGCTCCCTCAGCACTGCCGCTGTTCTATCTAAACCTCCAACCACCACGCTCCCAACGCTCAGAAAGACCGGAGCTTCTGTACAGCCGCGGCGCGCATGCCGCGCAGAGCGTCGAGTTCTCCCCCTGCCTGCCGAACATTGTGAAAATGCGGCCGTACAGAATCTCCGGCGGTCTAAGGCCGTCTAGGTGGAAATCTCCGAACTCGCACATCCCCGGCCAGTGAGGTGGTTGGAGATATCGACGAGTTGGAGCTTTCGATAGAACACCGGTCGGGAGGGAGATCTGTTCGGTTATCGGTACATTAGGGAGTTTCTATTTCAGATAACGATGTAAATACACATTTTATACTCCGAGAGGAAGAACGAACATGTGACCCGTTCCTGTGTTTATGACTCACTTGTGTCCGTATGTAGAGAAGATTCCTCCTGTTCACTCTTCACCATCATCTCCCCCTCCTCCGTAGACTGCTGAGCTCCTCCCACCAACGTCTCTTCTTCTTCTTTCACCTCAACTTTCATGTCTTCCAGATCTTCACCCTAAACCCCGAAGATGACGGAACAGATATGTGACCGGGAAGAGATTACATCGGGGAACGTCTCCTCATAGCTCAGAATACATCTTTATATCTACACGCCGAGTCCCACCTACCTGATCATGGTGGGGGATGGTGAGATGTTCCTGGGTGGGATCCCGGGAATACAGGGGGCGGGGACATCTCTCTGGTGGGTTTCTGTAACTAGGTGGCTCCATCATTATGTCCTTGTAGAGGTCCTTATGTTCTTCAGATCCACCTACCTGATCACGGTGAGGGACGGTGAGATATTCCTGGGTGGAGTCCCGGGAATACAGGGGGCGGGGACATCTCTCATGGTGGGGGAGGGTGAGATCTTCCTGGGTGGGATCCCGGGAATACAGAGGACGGGGACATCTCTCTGGTGGGTTTCTGTAACTAGGTGGCTCCATCATTATGTCCTTGTAGAGGTCCTTATGTTCTTCAGATCCATCTCCCTGATCATGGTGAGGGACGGTGAGATCTTCCTGGGTGGGATCCCGGGAATACAGGGGGCGGAGACATCTCTCTGGTGGGTTCCTCTTACTGGATCCATCTGTAGGGAACACACATTGACTCAACGTCTCTTCTTCTTCTTTGACGTCTTTCATTTCTTCACCCCAAAGATGACGGAACGGATCTGTGAAAGGGAACAAGAAATCACATGGGTGGAAG